TCAGCCCAAGAGAAGCTGGGGGATAACACCTAATGTTAGGAAAAACAAACTGGTCAAAATAGTATAAATAAAAAACGACTCCAAAAAACGTTTAAAAAAAATTTTGATTATCATTTTAATAATCTAGTGATTATATATATATATATATATATATATATATATATATATATATATATATATAATATGCCTTTAAATTCCTTGAGGAACATAGGGCTGCAAAGATATCATTGTGGTTTCTGTAACAAGCCAGTTTTTTTTTTTTTTAAGTGAGTAGGTTGTTAGACAGCTGCCAATCCGGAGGATCAGGTTTTGAATTAAGAGCTGTCCTCCTAGATCAATTGCCAGCCAAGGCTATAGAACCTAGTCTGTCCTGCTATTTACCTATAGCTGGGAGGTAGAAGAGGATTCATTCCTTTCCCAATGGTATTAGCATGTAAATGAATGTAATGGATTTGACTGGAATTCGAACTCAGCTCTCCGATTCCTCAATCTGAGTCACTATCCATTACTCCACAATGCCTCCTCAATAATTTAGTAAATGTTTATAAATTTATGAATAAAAATTGTTTTCTTATTTATTTCTTTATTAAATGATAAATATTACTTTGAATTAGTTTTTAGAATGTTGTAAATATAAAATTAGTTTTGTAAATAAACAATCTAATATATAAATAGTGTTTAATATTTTTGTTGTAAATTCTCAAGAATAAAAAAAAAAATGTATAAATTCAGTTTCATCATATGTTTAAGTTTTATTACAATTCTAATAATCGCTTTTTTAAAACAATAAACATTGCCAAAGAGTGAAAATTAATATAATAGTATTTAAAATAATGGTGACAATAGAAAAAAAAATATTCTTTTGACATTGTTTTTTTTTTTTTTTTTGCAGTCATGTAAGTCCAACTTTGCCGTGTTTTTAAACATTGCTTCAACTAAAGAACCAACCAGAATGTGTTAGCAACAATAGGTTGAATATTTTTAAAACTATTTTGAAAGACCTCAATTTTTTTTTTTTTTTAAATTTTTTTGGCAAAGTGATGTTGCTACTGTCACTAGTTATGAAAAGTGCAGTTAATGAGCAAGCCAGAGCAAAAAGCAATCATCAAAGCTGATTGGACAAACTGTGATTTTTGTGATGTAAAATAAATTATTTTTCACCCATGCATTTTGGCCAACAAAAAAAAAAAAAAAAAATTTCTACTGCAAATCTATCGCTGCGTATTGTGCACCGAAAAGCTGCGTGTACATAATTTTAGCAGACATGAACCATGCACATCTCAATTGATTCTTGCATCTGAAAAAAGACACAGTTTAGTAAGAATTTCGTTCACAGCTAAACATTGACTCAACAAAAGAGAAGAGGCATAATCGTAATCATCTGTTCACAAGGAATGAGAAAAACAAGTTGTTAATTAAATTAACAGGACGTGTAATAGAGCAATTAATTTAATCAATAATAATATTAAAGTATTGGACAGGCTAAACTTGTGTAGACTTAATAATATTATTGATATGTTTTAGCAGACGAAAAGCAGCATCAAAATTTAGAGATGAAGCAAACATGTAGTCGTGATGGTTTTTGTTAGAGGTAGAAATAAATGATGAAGATTTGAATGAAAGTTCCTGGAAATGTTAAGAATGAAGAGAAATGGTCATTGAAAAAGAGTCTATTGATATGATTTTTTTTTCTAAGATGAGTACAGCCACTCCTCACTTAATGACTAAGTTCTGTTCCAACAACCTGGTTGTCAAACCAGAATTTCTACCTGGTTACTAGTCCCAGGAATACTATGCATATAAAGGGTTTGGGTCAGACAGCCTTAATGCCACTGTTGCAACATTTGTAACGTTTTTAATTTATTTCTGTGCCATGTGTCCTCAAGGACAGGACACATGGCAGAGTGGATAAATGCATTGGTTAGATCCAGTGACAGGACCCAAAGAGTGTGAGTTCAATACCTGGTTAAGGCAGTGGAGAACTTGGAGAGGGGAATTAACAAGAGATAACTGATAACTGACATCCATTTGACATGGCACGTGGAACTAGAACAGTCTACCCCAGCGAGTGAAATAAAGGGTGCAGTTCGACATTCCAACCACCTGAAGAAGGCAGGAGCATACAACGGCCGAAACATAATAAATATGGCGACAAAGTTGAGGACAATAGTCTGAATAATGTAAATAGTGTACATAATACCTCATCTCACAAATATAGACAGATACTTATTTCTAAATGTTTATAAAAGTACAGTAGTGTACTGAACATCTATATGAATAAATGCGAAATTGGAGGTTAAAAAGGTCCCAACTCTACTTTATAGTTATTTGAGATTTATTCTGAACAATACAGAATTGTGGCACAAGGCTGAGGGGAGGAAAAATGGAGGGGGGGTCTTCCTAATCAATATGACTTATGACCCATTTATTCAATACAATTTACTCATGTACCACAAGAATACATCTATCACCACTCAATTCTGCATATACAGCATATTCACAGGGGACCTAAAAAAACACCCCATGACATAAAAATTTCTAGTAATTTGTATTTACTCAATTCCCCATGAGATCAGGTTGTGACACAAGGTTGGTTTAATGTGGGGACCCAAGCGTATACACCTGGGCAAGGAACAAAATTGCCCACAACCCCCATGACTGTCGGTTGTGCTGGCCTCGGTGCGAGCACTGATCCCTCTCTCTGGTGCAATGAGAGGGCGCAGCTGTTGCCCAGGGCTGGGCACCTCTCAGTATAATTTTCCTCAGTTGCAACTTTGAGCTGCCCCTAAGTGCAGTCTGTCCAAAGACGGAGACACAACCGAGAGATGATAAATAGATGTGTTACAAACACAGAGAGAGAGAGAGAAAGAGAGAAAAAATACACACTAGGTATTTACTCTATCTCCCCACGAAGACGAGTTGTGACACAAGGTCATTTTTTAGGTGGGGACCCAAGCACATACACCCGAGCAAGGAACAATAATTGCCCGCAGCCCTTGCAATAACCCCTTCGACATTCCATAAATAGTGAACATTAATCGTATAGAAAAATTACCAGATAGCAAGCGGACGAAGCCTGCTAGTTAAACATAATAAACAAATCGAAAATCAGCACCATATTCTTCACGTTTCTTCATTGTGTATTCAGTAAATACACCCATTTTGAAGAGAAAAAATCACAATCAAAATTGGTTGGATTATTTTTTTTCTTGTGTTTTATAAAACTGGTCCTAAGTCCAGCGATCATTAAACAAGTGAGGAGTGGATGTAAGATTTGAAAAGAGAATTTGTTGGCGGTGGGGGTCTGCATGTTTGCTTTCGTAACTGAACAGACATGAAATTAAATTAATCTTAAACTGAGAACCAATTTTTAATAAGGTATAAAAAAAAATTATCAGAGTTCATTCCTTGGAAAATATTTACAGTCACAATAATCTTTGTTTTAATGGAATTCTAGAAAACAAAAAAAGCATTAATTTTGCTTTTACTATGACTGTCTGCAACAATCGATTTTTATTGGCAAATTTGTATTTAAAAATATGCTGTATTTAGGCAGCAAGAATTCAAACAAGTCTCATTAAATTCCACTGACAAGGCATGTCTCTAAGTTTTATTAAATCTTTCCAATTTCCAAATATGGTATTGTACATCAGGATTGAAGTTATGAATAAATTATCCTAAGTTCAATTTTTTTCTGTTATGTTCAAGTACTTTCAGCTATTACAGTCATTGCCAAGAACTAGGTGTTATCACTATGGTAAGATTTTTTGATTAAATTCTGGCGTTTTTAGATTGCTAAATGAAAATGCATATATCAAATATCTATACAGGAGTTTTTTTTATTTAATTTTCAGTACTTCAACAAAATCTTGTCTCTCATACTGACAACATCCAGTTCTGATTAATGATTGACATCGTCAGAAGTACTTGAACAATATAATAACTGAATAATTTATCTGAAATTTTGATCCCAATGTGCAACGCATTAGACAAAAATTGGAAAAAATATAATAAAAAAATTAAACAACCAAAGCTTGTCGATTGAATTTAAAACTTGCTTCGATGAATTCTTGCTATATATATATATATATATTTTTTTTTTTTTTCTTGTGAATGTTCAGATATTTTATAAAGTAAAGATGAAGCATCTTAGCCTGGCAGTCAAATATTTTTTTTATTATTTGATTCATAATAATCAATTTCTGTTTTTGCAAAGGCTCTGTCTGGTTGCGTTGCAAATTGTGATGTCATATTTGATTTCTCTTAAAACTTTGCCACATTATAAATCATTTTCTAACCACATTCTAATTGTTAACATTCTATCTTCATTTTTTTTTTTTTTTTATTTTAAAATGTATGTTAAATATTTTTTTTCTCCCCATCATTCGACTTCAGTTATGTTCTTAGTTCACAATCCTACACCACAGTTAATTGTATAATCTTTTCAATGGTTGTTTAGTATTCACAAGGCAAGATAGTCATGTCTTCCCTGCTATTTAACCCATAGCTGCAGGGAGAAAATATGTATTCATACTTTTCTGAAGTGAAAGTAACAAATTCAACTGGAATTTGAACTCTGGTCACTAAATTGCTTTCTGAGTTTGAATTCCATTTTAATTATTTCAAATCAGTAGCTTAGTTTAGTGTAGATCAAAATTGATTTCTTGATTTTGCTAACAGAATTTTTCAATTTTTTTTTTTTAATGCTTCTTTATTTTTGTGTATCTATTTTATAAATATATTTTTTTAATTAATAAAAGCTGTTAAATTGAGCTGATGCCTTTATAGACCCAAAGATAAACAGCTTAAATCATGGAAGGAATTAATTCTAAAATAGTAAAGGTAAGCTTTGTCATCTGACATTTCTCGACTCCAAACTCAATCTAGTCTTCATATAGTTACAAAGATTTTGTCATGTGCTGTTTAAAAAATGTTACTGTGGTTACCATGCCTTTTTATATTGCATGCAAAGGGGAGATAATCAAATTTGATGGCCCTACCGTGCGTCCAGCAGAAAAATGGCCTCCTGCAGCGTAACTATCACCATATCCAGTATCAGCCACAACTCGGTCAGCGTGCCTGGAAAAACTTTAATGTGAGAGCATTTTGCGGTAAACATTGCCAAAAAAATAAAATAAAATAAATTCACCCCTGATTCTGTGTTTTATGATTAAGTGTTGCAGCCAGTTTTTTTTTTTGTGGGGGGTGTGCCACTCAAAGCTGGTGTATGTTTTTTTGCTACTTAACTTATAGAAGACAAAAGAAAGTGAAAAGCGAACCCAAAGTGCAAAGAAAGAAAAAGAAGAAAAGCTTGTTAATTACTGCAAATATAAACAACATACAACATGCAAAATGAGATCCTTCCAATTAAGTAAATGAAGTTTGTATATGAAAGCATTTTACATTTTTTTTAAAAAAAAAGATGTGATTTATGTTAGTAAGGGTATGTTTTGATCGCAGATTATTTATAAAATTAATTTTTAAGCTTTTCTAAAAAATAGATAGCAAATCTAAAAATGAATATAACAGTGGAAGGATGAAATTTGCTAAACAGCAAATGGCTGAAGAATTAATTAATACAAAGCAGAATTCAGCTACTTTATTGAAATTATGTTCAGTTTGACCCTTGCTGGTTGGGAGAAAGAATAACTAAAAATACATGAAGATTACTTCATATATATATATATATATATATATATATATGACATGTTTCTTAATTTGAGAATTTGACCTTTTATTTTGGCCTTAAACTGCAAAGGCAAAATAATAATAATTATAGGAGTGGTGTTTTGGTTTAGGTCATGTGGAGTTGCAGATGTCTTTGACTAAAGCAATCCATAATTATTTTGAGGGGCTGCTTTTATCAGGTCATTGTTTTCTGCCACTGCTGGTGACCTTAACCAGGAAGAAAAAAAAAAACCAAGACCAATTCTCTATTCATATATTTAGAATCCCAACCAAGATGGTAAAATTCAAACCTAACAATATTCGTACTTTTATCCCTACCAAAATATTTAAATTCTTTTCATTTCCTAGCCTGCTAACTAAGTATTTTCATCTGGTACTATCGCACTGGATATGTGTGTGTGTGTGTGTGTGATTCTAATTACTTATGATATGGAAATCTTTTGGTTTTAATCCATTCAACTGACAAGATCGGCCGATTCAATTTTTATTACATTTTTCCAGTTTGCTTTTTACACCCAGATTAAATTTACGAAGGAACTGCAAAGTTTTAAATGTTTTTTTTTTTCTTTTTTTTTCATGTACACTTTTGGGCCTTGTCAATCTAGCATACTCCATGAAATCACTAAAAATGAACATAGCATGAGATCTAAAAGACACCAAACTTAACAAAAACAATTTTATCGTCAAAATGTTTATGTTGTTATTAAGAGTATTTTACTAGTAAAAGTATTTTTAAATTATTTCAAAAAATTTTCCTTCTTTTTAGAACATTCTAACTTTTGATTAAAAAAAAAAAAAAAAACTTGCTTCTCTTTGTGTTTAGCAGAAATACTTTAATAAAATTTTAGCACGTTTTTTTTTCTGTATTACAGACATTAATTTTGAAAATCTTGCAAAAATAAAAATAATTGTTGGATTTTAATGAAACCTTCAGAAACTGCAGAAATGATGGAACTTATTATAAACATGTTTTCCTTTTTTAAAGTCATGGCAAAAATATTTTTTTTTATATGTATTCCCCCACCCCAACTAATTCTATGAAAACTATAATTTCAAATTTGGACAAAATAGTGATTAAATCATTATCTAAAACTAATATTATAAGTGAGAATAAAATAATTTCTTCCTGGCATTTTTTTTTTTTTTTTAAATTTTAATCTTAAATGTAACTGTATCAAATATGAATAAGTATCATTATGGATAAATCAGTTTGAGTTGGAAATATAGATTAAATCTTATTCGAAAATTGTGAAAAAAAGTAATAAAAATGAAACATACAGACCTCAGTTGAATTTATTTAATAAACCTGTTTGGATATATGTATATCTGCATATATACACACACACACCTGAGCATATATAATTGTCCTGTACTAATCAATAACAATAAATGATATTTAAAACTAGAGACATATTTCATATTGATTGCAGTGCAAAAAGCGTGTTTGGATGATGACAGTTCTTAGCCTCAACATTCATAGAGTTTCACATTGGAAAATGTCTCAAATTAAATGATCAGAAACTAAAAATATCAATCGTAAGCACACTTTAGCATGCACAATGACTTGGGCTTATCAAAGCACGGGATGGAATGATTGTGGGATGGGGAGAAGGAAATGTTTCCGCAGGGATTTATTTTATTACTATTTATTTTAACTTTTCTTAGCAAACATTTTTTATGCAAATCAACAAATTCAGTGCAAATTGCTTCATCATACTTCAGTCTCATGCAGGCAAAAATTATTGACAAAATATTCAAGAATATGAAACCGAAATTAATCATAAACATCTTAGAAATTATAGAAAACTTTTTTCAACATGAATTCATGGGAGGCAAATCTTTAATTATTACAATTTTGGCATTGAGCCAAGATATTTTAATCGTCTCACAACTTTTAAGTTCCTAATCATTGATTTTTATCTTGCTTGAAAGCCCTTTTTCATTTTTTGTCATGAGTTTGATTTTTTTTTTTTATTTAATTAAAGTCCATGTCATATCTGGAGAATATTTCATCCAGACTGACAATTTCCGCATCTATGTCGTCTGCAAAATGAAAATTTGTGATGTTACAACCTCTTCATGCTGACTGGACGTTTCTTATGGGCATCGCTCAATGCATTAAGGGAAAATTTTAAAGGGGACAGGAGACAGCCTTGGCATACACAGACTGATGTGTAGGACCGCTTTACCACTTTCCTATGCAGGCCTGGGACTACTGCCTTTTTTGGGTGACAGAACTAATTTCAACTTGTAACCTCAAAAGGGTAATTTGCAGTTCAACCCCCGTGCTCAGTTTTTAATAATAATTCCATTTAGGTGTAAATGTACATGCTTAATTCGAAAATAACAAATAAATTTTGATAAAATCTACCATTTAGGAGTTATCAACAATAAAAGTTCAGACTCATTCGCATCGCAATGGGTGAAGTTGAAATTAATTCTGCCTACACCCCCTCTGCTGGAAAGTGTAAGGATATTTTTATCTATGAAAATATTCTGTATATGAAAGTTTGAAAATAAGTCATTCATAATAGATTTACTTCTATTTTAAAATATGATTGATTTACAACAACCACCAGAAAATAAATAAAACGGTTTTTCTTTTAGATCAACTACTCATTCGTTTTATTATTTTTTTTCCATTAAGAGTGTTGCAAATTTTTCAAAAATAATTCTGCATCCAGTTTTATTTCATTGAAGGGTCCTGCTTTTTTTTCTTTTTCATTGTGGTGGTGTGTTAGTGTTGGCCTTGTGTATTTTATTCCAGTCATTCAACATGAACTAATAAGTCCTTTATCGCTGTGGTAAGCTACTTAGTACTTGACTATTTACAAGCTTTGTCTAGAAAAAAATTTTAGACAATATCCATAGCTTTTGACCTTAACTCAGGTTTGTAATAGAATTTTTATTCAACAAAAAATATCATTTGCAAATCAATGCTTTTCTTCTGGTAAAAAAAAAAGAGAAAAAATCCAATTAGAGTTATCTCCCGTTGTTAGGACGCGAGAGAAATTCGTTTTGCAATGAGAAGGAAGCGCATTAATCTAAAACATTTTTAACCCCATCCACGCCAGTTATTTTGTGAAAATCGTTTCGTCTTCAGACGATTTTATTTTTTTTATCTGTTTTTAATAGTAACTAAGAAATTGAGGCACCTTGAAGTACCCGAGCGGTGGCTAACACCTCTACTAGACGTATGAGTTGACAACTGGACTATTTTCAGGCTCATAAGGACATTAAAAAAAAAAGATCGACGTATTTCTCGTTCCAAGCCTCCAAACATTATAACCACCTACACATCTGCTATGCTTTTCTTCTGGTTAAAAAAAAAAAAAAATTCAATATAATTTTAGTTTGGAATCTAAGGTCATAAGGATGCCTACCGTAGAGAGTGTGTTCAAGTTCAATTATCAATAAGACGCTTCACTACTGCAGATTAATCTAAGGTCAAATAATACTGAAATATTTTACACAAATATTTTCAGTTTTCTTGTTGTACATTTTATTATGCCATATTGTAATATTTAAAGGAGCCTCCGAGGTATAAAAAAAAGTTTTCAAGTTTTAAAATGAATGTTTAATTGAGAAATCACTTCAAGAAAATCCACGTTTTTAAGAAATTATTAAAAGTAATGGACAAATAAAAAACAAAAAGAATGCATTAGTTACTAAATCATTAAATGTTTGCTATAAAATAAGGAACTGTTGCATGTTTTGCCTTCGGTCTAATGCTACATGACACTAATCTGAGAATTATATATATATATATATGACTTATGTGTTGATGATGCTCATAAAAGGAGCGAAATGTCAACACTAATTTTAAACATGGTTTCACGTATTCTATCTTACTTAGTTCGGATATTTCATACCAGTCTTCATACTTTGATTTACATCTAGCCAACCTTACAAAATTAAATAGCACAAAGTCTCAACTGTGGCACACGAAGTGAGGCCCGAGCTTATATAGTTGCGTAGTGTGGGACTCACCTCAGTTGTTGCCAGAATAGACTGCGCTAAATATCACACAAGACCACCAGAGAAGACAAACGCATCAGCGGTTTGACTTGAAAGATAATCTCTTAGCCACTCGGTACAGATCTGTGTCTCACGAGATCTCAGTGGCTATCTACAACATGTAAACAGGTGATCGACCCAGCTGTGTTATAGATGTGCACACGTGGAAAAACCAATGATCGGAAGGTATATAAGCACCCACCCGAGAGGAAAGAAGAGGTGAGTTTCTTAGATCCTACCTACTGATATTAATATTAATCCTGACTGGAGCTCTCCAATTCACACTTTCCAGCCTTATAATAACCTCATTCAGTAATCCTCTAACATAAATAGCTCTTGAGCCTTGTATTGGGTGAACATTTACCTGTTGAAACTAATCTTTAAATAGGAGCCAACCCAAATCTAACCAACTTAATCTGCGGATCGATGTCATTACAGTTATAATAGCTTGCGAGATCTGCTTGCTGTTTACCCTCAAGCGAAGCGCCCCAGCAACTGATAGTTCCTTGCTTTCTTAATTCTAAACAGGGATGAATTCTGAGATTAATTATCAGGTTCTGTATCAAATCAACGATCAATAAAACACCAGTGCACAAAAAGAAAGAAAAACAAAAAGGTCACTAAACGCATAGATGGAACACATACAGGGCTATCCTTTCTCCCAAATCAGCGCTCTTCTTATGAACGAAGGGGTCAACCTCACGAGCTGCGGCCGAATTTGTTTCACGATACCTGTCAAGTAATTGCCGATGACGGCCCAGCTTGTCCTGAACACCCCGTACTTGATCGCGCATCTTTCCATAAGTAGATGGCTTATGGATCAGATCATCTGGATCAACACGACTCTCCAATCGATACTGAAATCAAAATATTGAAAGCATTACTAACTATTGAATGAAACATGCGATAAAAGACGAGACCAAAATTAAATCAGCTTAATTGAAAATTATCACAAATAATTTTGATTAATCTAGACTAAATTCAACAAGAATGATACTTATTTGTCTCATTAATGCAATTCGACGGTAAGAAAACATTTAACCCTCCGTTAGTACATACAGCCCAAATTCTTTAATCCAGCAATTTAAACGGCCCAGGTTAAAGAGGTTAGACTGTATTGTCACAGCGTTAGTACCGTGGGAGTTTAAAAAAAAACATTTAAAATAAATATTTATCATTTACTTCTTAATATTCTTGTATATATATATATATATATATATATATATATATATATATATATGTGTGTGTGTGTGTGTGTGTGTGTCTTGAGTGATGTTTCCGGTTTTTATAGGATAAATAAAATAAGAAAGGGTTTTATTTAGAAAAAAATCGATTTAGGAAAGGAAGTCAATATAAAAAATGAATTTTTAAGTTTGAAAAGCTCAAAGATGAAAAAAAAAATAAGTTTCTTTTTATTTCCAGGAAAAAATGCTTACTTGCATTATTTACATTACTCGGATTGTTATTCTCATCTTCAGTGCCATATTTACAACGTTTCGGCCGTTGTATGTTCCGGCCTTCACCAGGAGATTGGAATTTCCTCAAGGACACATGACCCAGTGGATAAAGACGTAGGTTAGATCCAGTGACTGAACCCAAAGAGTTGTGAGTTCAATACCAGGCCACAACAGTGGTGAATCAAAACTTTAAGAGCTGAGTTAAAAGGGAAATAACTGAGACATCCGGAAGAGGCATGGCACGTGGAACTAGAGCAATCTACTCCGGTGGACAAAATAAAGGATTCGGTTCAAAGTTCCCATAATCTGGAAAAGGCCGGGGCGTACAACGACCGAAACATTGTGAATATGGTCATAAAAATGAGGATAACAGTCCGAATAATGTAAATAACGCAAGTAGTCATAATACCACATCTCAGAGATAAAGACAGATATAAAAAAAATGCTTGTAATTCACAAATATTATAACCAAAATCAAATTTCTTGAAGTTACTTGATAATGGTATTCGGAAAGCAACTTGACTAATAATGAAATTTTGATTTGCCACTTTAAGCAAATAACAGTTTGTTAGGCGTTCAAACAGCCCATGGTACTAAGGGGGGTGGTTTAAAGAAACCGATAGGGTTCGATCCCCCACACTCCATTGACAGAAACTTTCAAAAGCAATTTTAGCAAAACAGCAGCAGCAGCAATACTAATAATGATAATAAAATGAAGAAAAAGAATTTTGCGTTTTTCAGTTTTAAATGGCTTAGAATTATTAGAATTGAGGTCAATGCTCAAAGTTGATCCGTTAACCAAAGACCTCATTCCAGTTAAATTAACTTTGACAATAAACAGCAGCTTTAAATGTACTTGAACTTTTAAAGTTTAACAAGTAAAAACAGTGCGATCATTAATAGCAATTATTAATTATGACTAGAAATCTATTTCAATACCTACCGTGATATCAGGTCGCTACCATGTGGGGTAAGGGTTAACAAGTTAGTCTGAGTGATTGATCAACATTTACTGAGTAGTTAGATTGATTTTCACTAAGTGCACAATACTCTTGACCTTGTGTCAAACTAAGGTAAGTAAATAATACATCGCTTCTCAGTTCCTTTATGGGACCTGAAGTAAAAATTGACCGTCACCCCCCGCAAAGATTGCTCTGTTCCCGTTGGTCTTTAAAAAGAGAGGAACAGCGTCAATTCGTAAAACCTGAAGTGTCCCAAAAAGGGAAACTGTGAGCGAACCGGACAATTTCCGGTACTTCTACCTGCATCTACGCGTTAATAGCTACACTGATATTAGTAGATTAGTACACATGGTCTGAAGATCGCTTGAGACGTGAAACTAACAGCCACAATGCAGTTTTGATTTCTATGTTTCGCATTGTCTAACTCACTCTCATATTTACACACGCACACATACATACATACATTAATTATATATATGCAATAAGATTGAGGATATTTATTATACATTATCCTTTTGACTAAATTGAAGCGCAAAGAGAAAAATTTTAAAGTCAGAATTTTCTGACACTCCTGTGTCCTTTTTCAACGAGACGAGGAATAAACAAAAAAGTGGGACTCACTCTTTCGAGGAATTTTGTTGTTGCTTAGGGGGCTCCCTGTGGAAATTATTCTCTCTGAATAAACTCAAATCTCTGTTCAATCTTTTAATATGTGATTTTATTTTGAAAATATATTTTAACACTGATCTATGTCTTTTTTTTTGTCGGCTGTTAAATGAAGATCCTAAAATATGTATGCGTGTATAAAAACAGCCTGAAAACATTAGAGTGTTGAATATCTACAGGTAAGAAGTTGCATTTGATTAAGACTGATAACGAGGCCGCATTTCAGGCGAGGGAAATGTTCCAGACCCCTTCTGACAAATGAATAACCTTGACCTTTTAGAGTTATCTATGAGGAAGACGTCTGTATACAGACAATATGCTACAAAAACCAAGATTACATTTTTTTTCTTCTATTAAATTCCTACTTAAAGCTTCTGATGCTGATTTTATTTGAAGCAACACTTCTGCTACAAAGGTATGTGATATTTGATATGTTTGGCAAATGGCCTATTCCTTTCCTCTGCTAATGATTCTCCACCTTAACGGAGAAAACAGGCCGAAAAAGAAATTACTACCATTACTAATGCACAATATCAGTCATCTAAAGTAAGTTAACTAATTACATTCAACGCCCATTTTGCTAAGTACATAATTTTCAGAGAAAAATAAAATATTTCTTGGGCAATTAATTAAAAAGATCATATTTAATTTCATATTAGAGTAAAAAGTATAAAAAATAATTTGTGAAAGATATTATTTTCCAACATTAACCAAACAAAAAAATTGTTTTCAAATATTTTATAATTAAATTTGTTAAAGCTTCTCGCAAAGTAAAATTAACCAGTTTGTAAGAATTTAAATTATTTTCTTAATACTTGTAATTTATTTGACATTTAGAAAAACGTTTCATCGAATTTGCAATCGATAATTTAGGATTCGATTCCTACCGATAGAAATTCTTCATTTCAAATGTCAATTGTTTCTACAACATAAAAACCGATTACATCTTCAACAAATATTAAATTATAGATTTACGCATAATTATTAAGCATATTTAAGCAGCATATCTTCATTCAAGTATGTTTCATTAAAATATAGACATAATACGTCTATTTTTATAATAACCCTTTCTAGGTCACTAATTATCTTCTTGATGTTAACAACGATTACAGTTACATTAAGTTTGTCTTCGCAATTCACCTCTGAGGGTGATCTCGGAAAAGATCGAAAGTATTTGGGGTAACAAGAACCACGGCGCCTTCCTTGATGAATTTCAACTTAACATCAAGAAAATAATTAGAGGACTAGAAAGGATTATATAAAATAAATAGAAATATGTCTATATTAAATATTAATGAAACATGCCTGAATCATATATATATATATATATATATATATATATATATATATATATATATATATATATATATATATATCTCCAAGTACAGGGATGGTACAGATAACCAAAAATGCTATTCTTAAAAGAGTGCTCAATACAGAGTAGAGCAAATAATATATATTTAAAATTATAATATATGCCTGTTATAACATTAGTACAAAAATTGCAACTTTGTTTCAACACTACTGGTGTCTTTTGAACATACATACATATAAGACAAAAGGAAAACTTTAGTCGACGCGTCTCATTCTCTGATGGACTAAACACATCGGCTAAGATAAGATTGTACCTTTACAGATATATGTTCAGTTATACCTTAAATTTTACACAGACACATATATTCATAAACATAAGTTGTATATTTAGGCATACATTGGTTCTGTCATTACAACCAACAAATAAATAAATCATGTTAAAAATTTTTTACTAAAATCTAAAGGAGTTTTTCTATAAAGCTTTTAATTTGGAGGAATTTTTCAGAGTTTACTTAGACAAGTAAAATCTACAATCATGCATTTTTTTCCCTTTCTTACCATAAGAAAGAAAAAAATCATTTTCAACAACTCCATTAATCCATACTCACTTTCTGAAAACAACTTCAGAAGATGAGTTGCAGTTATTACAAATAAAAACAAGTAACACCTACAGACAAATTTATAATTTTTTTTTTACTACCGAAAAAGAGACGAAGGAATGAGAAAACAAACTATTAAAACAATGATTTTTTTGTTACCTGTAAATTTGATAGAGTTTATTGCATCCTTAATTACTGATTTTAATTAAATTCACCGGGTTGCCCGAAATAACGTGTATGCTTTTTTTTTTTTAAGTATATAAAAATGTACTTTCATTAAGATATAAAACAATTCTTATTTTTTTAGTTAAAAAAAAAAAGAGAAAAATAAAACATCTCGTATAATTAATCAAGGTTTGTAGCTAATTATTAACTCTGGCACAAAAATTAACTTCCGTATCGATTTCCTGAAAGGTAACTAAAAAAACTAATTCTCAATGGATTACTTATCAAGAAATAAGTTTTCTTTCATTAAAGAAATCAACAAAACATTTTATTCTTGAATAAATCAGCTGAAAACTCACTTAGGAGGCACATTCTATAAAAATGACAAATTTTAAGTGTAAAACTAAAATAAATTCTAAAAAAATTAATTTAAAATCAGTTTTTCATTTTTTTCCCCCCAATTGAAGTTGAAAGCATTTTAAATTTATCAAATTGAATTGAAAGTATTTTTGAAAAGAAATCACCTTGAAACTCCGACACATATGTGTGCTAAAAGATATAGTTTTAATAATTTAAGGTGTGCTATATTTATGAGTAAAAAGTGCCCAAGAGCGTATGTAAATATAAGGCTGGACACTGAGGCCAACGCCAAGTGACGATAGACAGTTTCATGTTTTAACACAATTTTCAGGATGGCCTGAAGGCCCGGTTCAAGCATGAAACAGGCAGTCACACCTATGTGTTAACGAACCTCAGTGTCCACTCATATTATGTGTGGGTGTATGTGTTAAAATTAAAATTCAGTTATTTAAATCTGGGTTTAAGTAAATCAATATTATATTGCCGGCCTCCTGAAAAAGTAAGTCTGATTCATCAGGTCGATCGATAGATTAAGAAAGAAAGCTCATTTAAACAAACATTTACAAATAATGAATGCTTACTGGCAGTAAAATTATTTTTGACATTTTTATTTTACAGTTTAAACATAAGATCATATAAACTTTGTAAAGAAAAAATAATCAGTTGAAGTAATCGATTTTCTCAGATTCCTTCTTCTCTCAATCGTTGTACTGTGAAAGACTCGAATAAAAAAAAAGAAAAGAGATTGACATTAGAAGCGTTCAACATGCATTTTGGTTGGCTAAAAAGTTTTTTAGCGTCTGTTTTTTTTTTTTTTTTTTTTAGCATGGCTGTTTTTTTTTTCTTTCTAAGCAGTGAAGCAAAAATCACCCTTAGACACAGAGATGAGTAAATCTCTGGTCCTTTTGCGTGGTGGCAATTAAAAAAGCAGTGAAATCTGAAGATGACGAACAACAAACCTGCCAAGACATAACATTTGCTGGCTTGGTATAGCCATCCACATCACGGATAGCTCTCCAGGTGTAGGTGGGTATTGGCTGAAAAGGATTAGAACTCTCAGTCATCATCTCTTGAACTTTGACTAACTAAATTTATCGAATAAAACTCAGTGGAAATTCTTGAGACATATTTTAAACGAACCGCTTGCAAAAGCCATTATCCCAGTTATAAACCAAAATTAAGATTGCGGAGACTATTTTAAAAAAATAGAGATAAACGTTAAAAAATTTTCTACTTAAAAAATGGATATGATTGCTATCGTCATTTTATAAACGAATAATAATCGTTAGGTTATAATTTTCATTTAAAGACTAACTAATTGGTGCTACTTATGATATCTACCGTCCATTATGATATTTACTATTCATTTCCTACTATGGTATGATATTTACCAACTGCTGGGCGTATGAATTGGGTTAGGATTAAGGATTTAGAGTTAGGGGTCGGGTTAAGGTGAAAGACAGTGAACTGGTTATGTATTAAAAATCATTAACAATTTTTTTTATACAAAAAAAAAAAAAAATGAAAAAATATCTCATCAAATAATAATTTTAAAATGTTTGTAAAATGATTTGATGTCACTTAAAACAGTAAAAAGGTCATCGTTTTTTCTGAGCCTTTTCCAGCAATAATGAGTACATCGTCATTTACAGTAGGTCGCAAATACCTCCTAATTAGACTACAGTAGCACCAACTAATTTCTTTCAACCGATATGTAGTCTTTTACATGTTCAGGTTTTTAATAAAGCCTAAACAAAATGTAATTATTATTGTAAACGTAATACAAAATTTGAGGAGGAAATTGTCTTCTGTATTTTTAGAGTGAAAACAAATGTATGTATCTCATAGCAATTAGAAAGTAATAAAAATAAAATTATCCTGTTTCATAATTGCTTAAAAAAATCACTTTTTAAATGATGTAACATAAGAAAATTAGTATAAATGCTAAGTTATAGAAAATGTATTTTAAAACTATGCGTAAGCACTTATTGCATTTTTTAATCTTTTCTTTGTACATTATCGATAAAAATAGTTAAATGGATGCTAGTCTGGTATTAAAAATGTTTTAAAATATGGATACTGAAAGTACGTAAAAATTAACTAAAGTTCAAGCTTTTAACGAGAAACACTATATTACAAATTGTAAAATTGCATTTCTTTACATTACGAATTACCCGAAAAACATTCACAATGTTATTTTCAAAAATAGAATGTGATTTACTTTCGATAATTTGTTTTACAAATAGACTTATCTATGTGTATGATAATATCTATTTTTTTTTATCGATGAAAAGAAAAAAAAATATACAACTGAATAAGTTCTTACCGATGAAGAAGTGACCTTAACTGTCTTTTGTGTTGTTATGGAGCTTTGATAAGAGTCGCGATCGCTAAGGAAACGGTGGTTCATTTTTTTTTTTTTTTTTATCTTTGCAAAGAAATTTCGTGCCTGAGGAGGAAGAAAGCTTCAAGGAATGGCTGGGAAGATTTTAGCTGCACCTGGCGGCACTAGCTACGAACTACTGACTTAGCGAAAAAAGAAAACGGTGTCTAGGTATTTACAAAGTCACTACTTGATGCTGCTCTTGCTTGCTTTTTACCGAAACAGACCAAGTTCGGAGAGGAATTTCACGCCAGCCCAAATACATAGAGAATAACTATTTGGATGTGAAAATAGTAGATTACGTCATAGCGTATGATAGTCAGCAGGGGAAAAAACTATCTAAAAATAAAAGCGTACAAAACCGAACCACCATTCCGTAAATGTCGAAAAGGAGATACAACGCCCGGTTATCGGCGCGGAAAATGAAATTAGCGTGCTGAGTTCAATTTCCGGTCGATTCTGTTTCACCGACTTCATTATTAGTACCCTTGGAAAAGGTATGAATCCATCTTACTCTAGTTATGGGTTAAATAACTGGGCAGGTTGAGCTCTCTTGCCTTGAGATGGATAACAGTCTAAGAGAAGAACTTAATTCAAAATCTGTGTCACACATCACTGCTACTGTGCTTTCAGTGTGTGTGTGGAGCTTCCACGATCCTAATGAGGTTTGGGATTCGTGGCATGAGGAAATATTTTTAAAAATGCGTTCCTTGCTGATTATGCACACAATTTCGCCTAATTAGTTTTAATAAGTTATTAATATCTTAAAAAATAAAGTAAGATGATTTTTTATTTATAACCTAACAAAATAAGGTTATAAACAATAAGTCAAAAATTTATGTCATTTCATTGATATCAAATCAATGGTTAGTTCTTCGGCGACTAAACAGATTCCAGGATTTTGGGGGTGGGAGGATGACAAGACACATATCCAGGACCGGATTATCGATTAGATCGAAGCCAAGGGTCCCTCAAGCTTAGATATAATTCTGGTTATAATTTTTTATCTTTTTTTTAATTTTAATTTTTTTTGCTATGGTTGTGTTGAAATAGATGCCAATTTGCAATAAATAGTAAAATAATGGCATTTCTTGAAGGATCTTTTTTATTGGCAAACAAAAGATAGTTATTCTAAGTTTTAAAAAGTAAATGGCGCAACCACTCAAATCCGAGGATACTAGTCTACTAAGTCGGATAGCTAATCCACACTGCTCAGGCACAATTGTGTTTGTTCAACACCCACAGAGCAATTTATGGTTTATACTGCAATTATACTATAGTTCTCTGAACAAGGCTATCACGCTCAAAACCTCGGACTTGTGACTTCGTGCTAACACAACTACCGAGTTTCCAAGGCTTACGTCTACCCAGTTTCACTCTCAAGGCTTGGGTCAACCCCTGGTATGGTTTACAGGACGATCCTTTGGAAAGTTAACACGCTGGGATCGCCCCTTCCAGACAGATAAGATCAAGAAGCCAGGGTGAGATTCGAACTCGGGTCTCATGGTCAGAAAGCGAACGTTTTAACCATTCCAAGCTATGTAAATGTCACTAAAATATATCACGAGTAAAAAAAAAAATATATATATTCAAGACGGATGCGAGTGAGTTAGAGGGTAACTGCGGTGGAGGGGTGGAGGCATAATTTCCTTACCCCCGAGGCCCCAAATAGTCATCATCCGGCCAGCTGGATTAAAAACGAGAAATGTCAAAGGACAGATGGACCTTCTTGTCGGGTGAACGATTTAGCAATAAGGTAGAGTGGGCGCTATAGTTATGTCTGTAGCCAGTGCGGTGATGACTTAGCATCGCTGGGTGGAGATCTTCCTAGACTGAAATCAGTGGCCAGAGTAGAGGCTTTCTCCAATGGAATCAACAACCACATGTCCATGACCAAGGTGAACCGTCAATTTAGAGGACATCGTCTGTGGGTTGACCTTGAGAAGGATGGAATTCGCCAGATATACTTGCCCAAGAAACGCTACACATGAATGAATGCCTGTCCGGCTTTCAACTTTGATATGTGAAGAGAACCTGTCAGAATCTCAGATGCGCAGCGACCCTACAACCACATTCTGTCATGGGACTGATATTGGGAAAGACAAAATATAATCTAATGTAAACTTCTGAAAGACTCATAAACCAAAAATTAAAAAATTGACTTCTGATTGACTAGGTTGGGTTAACTTTCCTTTTTTCTCTTCAATTAGTACGTACCACGCTTGGCTGGTCATGTGATCCTTAACAACCAATCAGTGAAGCTCAGACTGTACCGAGAATTGTTTTATAGGTAGATGCTGCAATGAGTAGATACTTCCTTGACATATGGGGTGGGGGGTGGGGACAACCTTTGCAATATGAGATGCTGGATTTGTAAGAACAAATTTTGTAGCACTCGCTAAAAAAATTTTTTTTTCAGGGTCTGAGAGAAACCATGTAACACATTTCTACGCTTTGTTACCATGTTCTCTTTGTATAAAATTTTTTGAAAAATAATAATTTACACTCTCCCGACTTCTTCCTAGCCGTCATTATTATAATTATTTTAAATGTTTTGGCAAATATTATGACCTAAGGTCGCCCACATATATTCGGTAAAGCCAACAACTATGGTTTTGTTTGTATTGTGTTTTTTTTATTATTATTTAGAAATGAATACAATTTTGAAATTTTAATTTAGAAATATAAAAATAACATCTTATAATGCATCATGATTTTTGGGATCGAGTGAATTTGTGTTACAAAAAATAGAAAACCATTCTTTGTGGAATTTAATATGGTTTCCTTGCCTATAAATATTATTATGACCTTTGAGGGCAGTTGTTTTTCCCCGACAAACAAATGATTATTAATTTCACTTTTGTCTTTTACTTTTCCTTCATCGCTATATAATACTTCATAACGAAACATTATAAAGTGAATCTATGAAAATGACCAGCTTAGCATCAACCAGACCATTTTTATGCACACTGAAGATGTTTATTTTATTCGCTGATATCGTAGATTTTAGAAATAAAGATCGGATTATATTTTTCCCCGGGAATAAAACCAGTGCTTTAAAAACATGCTTAGGCTTTGTCATAATTGCTTAATATCAGACGTTAGAATGTAAGTAACTATTTTCAACGTGGTGAACAGAGTTGGTGTTGTTGGGTCTACCAAACATACGTAGGCGACTTAATAGTACCTGCCGTAAGTACAGATATTTACCAGGACATTGCAAAAAAAAAAAAAAAAAAAAAAATTAAATTAAGACGGAATAGGGAGAAGTCGGAAGAACTTAAATTAAAGTTTCATTTGACAGACAGAAAACATGCTAACAAATTTTAGAAATATGTCTTCTCTCAGACCCTGAAAAAGGAAAGCTAGCGAATATTATAAAAACCTGTCTTTGACTCACAAATCTAGAACGCAAGACATTGTTTTTTTTCTTCTTTTTGATCACGTGTCAAGGAAGTATTTGTTCTTCACGGCGCCTATTTTAAAAATTATTTGCTGTCTAGTCCAGGATGGAATTGACTAGGCCTTAAGGGTCACATGACCAACCAAGCGCGTTGCATACCAAGGGAAGAGGAAGGAAAGTTAACCCAACGGTGTTTAAAGTAAATAAAAAATACTTATTCATTTCGAAAGAGGAAATATTTTTCCTGATAAGGATGTAGGATCGAAGCTCACCAACACTTTGATTTCTAGTATGTTATAGTATCACAAATTGAAACATGCAAGAGTAATGTTTCCTTTTTTTCCAATAGTACAAGGGACATAATTGTTTACAGACATCCTTCACTTTGTATATACAAGAGAGTTATCTCCCTTACAGTTTTAGACTGTTTTGTGAAGTTGTGATCGAAATCGTTCGGTTTTTTAATGCTCGACTTAAGTCATGATCTTTTTTCCTATTCTCTCATTTTACGGCTATCCAAAAGATATTTTTTTAACGTTCATGGCATTCATTTCCTAAACGTGTTGAGGCAAATGTATAAATTTTGATTCTAAATATCGAACGACAGTTTAAATGGGAAAGCCTAACAGTATATATAGCCTTCAGATAATATGCTTCACGAAAGAGAGAGAGAGAGAGAGAGAGTGTGTGTTAATAGGATTCACTTGGATTATATACCAACGAATTACTACGTGCGTATATATATATTATAAATTAACTGATTGAAAATATGGTTTTTTATTCGCTACACAGCAATAACCATGTTTAAAAAAATGGAAGCTAAAAACTTTAAATTTAGTTATATAATTAAATTAAAAGTATTAGTTCCGTTTCATCTTCAAGCTAATATTGGAATCTTTATGCTCTGTAAATTTACAATGATCACCGTTTTGTAAAATAAAAATATCAATAAGAACACCGGATTATATATCTCACTGTTCTTTCCATATATATATATATATATATATATATATATATATATATATATATATATATATAGACACACTTGCTTTGATAAAGAACAAAATGTGTTGACATAAAAGGTTTTCTTCTTGGCTTTGCTTATTTTAATATTATTTTTAAAGATACACACACAGTACTGAAACTAATTTCGTATGTGTGTATATGGGGAGGCACGGTGGAGTAATGGATAGCGGCTCGGATTGAGGAATCGGAGACCCATTAAATGCTAATACCCTTGGGAAAGGTATGATTCCGCTTCTTCTTCCTTCCAGCTATGGGTAAATAGCAGAACTATAGCCTTGGGTGGCTACTGGTCTAAGAGTAGAACAACTCTGAATTCAAAACTTGACCCTCTAAGTTGTGGGTTGTGCAGTAGGCTAACTACCTATTCACTTAAAAACTGGCTTCTTATAGAAACCGATATCTTGCGGCCTTATGTTCCTCAAGGAATTTTAAGGCATATATATATATATATATATATATATATATATATATATATATATAGCTTAAACTATATTTAGGAGAATAGTGTACTTTGAACCACTGCCAATTTTCATTTAAATTAGACAAGGGGTTCTTGAGCTAGGACCGTTTTTCTCTTTTCACGGCATTTTTAATAGGAAATTCAGTGTTTTCAATATATATTCTTATGTCAATCACTGTATATTAACAAACACTTGCATATTATATTCCAACCATTATGTGTTTGAAAAATAATGAGCATTCATAATACATTGTAACAACATTAATAAAATATTACTACCTCATAATTTTGTATCATAGACTGTTTTGAAAAGAAACGCAAATTTTTTATGGGTGGCATACTAGATATATAAGCTTTTTCTGATGTTATGCCATTGGTTCATCAGCGAAAAATCTCAAAGTAGTTTTTTCAAATTCCAGTCGAGACAGATGCATTCACTATCGCACCCTCTTTGGAAGATGCATGAAACCATGTTTTATCTTCCCAGTTAGAGGTTAAGGGCAGGGGAAAAATGGTACCTCAAGATTTTGTTGAAAATATGTCTTATTTTATACGTATATTAAATATTCTCTTTCTCTGAGAGAGTGCTGCATAGTATTTAGGTAATATCTATTAATATTGGTCTTACGTTTATTATTGTATTTTTATTGCGATATATATATATGTATACAAAGATTCAATAAGTGACAAGTAAACCTTCGAGAGAATGTAATACTTGTATGACCAATGTGAGATTTAATGGTTATTTCTTGATGCAATTTTTCAAAAGACATGATAATTCATGAAGACCCTTGCTTTTACAGGTGTTAAATTTTAAGTTCCGGAATTAGTGGAAATAATTAGGTAAAATGCTTTAATTTAAAAATAAATAAATAATAAAGTGTTTCTTGTAATCATTAAATTGTCAGGTTATTTCCTCCTAATTTTTGAAGCTGCTCCTAGGGGACGATCTCCAACATTATAAATACTCTACGATATTTTTTTTATGCTTATACGACAATTTATCTTCTCTCTCTCTTACCTGGCACATGTCAAAGGGTATCCCCCAGGCGAAGCTATGCCCGAAGGGCAGAGTCTCGTCTCGGGAAACTGACTCAGTTTTTATGTTGTCTTATAGGGAATTTTTGCCCGAGTCTACGGGCTCAGATACCCCACTTTAAAACTCGGCTTTGTGTCACATCTTGCTGCGTGTGGCAGTGGGTAAATAATTATACGGCAATTTCTCTTCGTGGGAAACGCATGAAAAATACATACCTACACACGTAGGTACGCACATTCACTCAATTCACATACTTTGATCCAAAAAGTTCCCACATTGATTTATTATACATTATTGTCTTTGTCACTTGTAAAACTCCGTTTGTAATACATTATCATTTGTTTATATATATATATATATATATATATATATATATATATATATATATATATCGGTTCCTTTTGTTTCTTTATATATCTTTTAGGTGGACACATACTTCGCGTCCGCCATGTTTGTTGCGGATATTTCAGGAGACACACGTATTTATCTCACAACGCGTACACCGACCCACAACAAAGTGATATGTAATGGTGGATTATATTCTTAATGTTTTAAATTATTTTTGTTCGTTTAATCATGTTTTTTAGAACAGCTATTTTATATCTCTGAGCAGATATAACAAAAAAGAAAAAAAACACTTTTGTAATTGAGAAGGTTTATATGAAATAGAAAAGTCACTGAGACTTTCTCAGCCTGACCCACTTACAAAAATTTGATTAAATAACCAATTATTTTTTTTAAGAAATTTTTCTCACCCCCCCGCCTCGTTACTTGTTTGGAACCAAAACCTTCTAGTCCCCTGTAGTAGACAAATGACTTACCTGTCATGGCCGCCTTCTTGTATCTCCTTTGAGATTTATTGTAAATAATACAGTTATGGCACATGGCCTAAAATAGGGGACGGGTTAAGGCTGGTCTTCACTGACTATCCTATACCTAGCTAATCCGATTCACGACCCATTCACTCTGCATTCACCACAAAAACTCGTCCGTCACCGAACAATCCCCCCATACACCACAATACCGCATCCTCTCAATGGGAACCTACAAAACGTGCCCCATGCCATAAAAATCTGATGATTATAAAATTATATAATTAAAATTCTATGGATGACTAAATTGAAAGGGGAGGAAATTAACCCCCAAAACAAACTAAACATCAACACAAAATAACCTAAACATCTCCTTGGAAAGGCAAGCCAGAAAGGACTCTATTCACTCATATATCTCTTCATTAAATGACTCAGGGCAGTTCAGCTTGAAGTGTCTACACCAATCTACTTGTGTGTCAGACAATTTGCAAGTCAACCAATATTCTACATCCCCTTCTAAATAAGAATGACTTTTGCAAAAGGTAATATTTCCTTAATTTATATGTTCTGTGGTACAAAAGAATGTCCAACAAATAAGAAAAAAGAAATTAGTCACCAATAACTTACTTTTGGTGGCTTTGATGCTCTCAATTTGCTTGTTGGAGGTTCAGCCATGATTGACGATAGTTGTTCCTGCAATATAATATGACATTTAGTTTTTTGTTTTGTTCTGGTAGAGGAAAAAGAGAAAGGAAAATAAAGATATCTTTCTGGTGAAACGCGCAAAGGAACAAAATCACGACAAGAGACGCGATTTAACCTGCAATATACATTTTTTTTCTAAAAAAATTCAGGTAAAAATGATTTGATATGTGTTAAAACGACAATGAACAGATAGATGCATGGGGAAAGAAAACAACCACAACAAGAACAAGAGTCAATGACTTTTTGCAAGATTTTAAGCATAATTAATTTGTAAAACAAACTTTTTTTAAAAAAAAAAAAAAATATCAATAATTTGTGAAGATAAACATTAATTTTATATTTTTTTTTTTTTACATATTTTATACTTTAAAAATAAACATGTAAAAAATACAATTTTAATGTATTAATATTCAATCCTTAGAAAGTCTTGATTTTCAATATTCAAAACGTCATATATTTAGTAAATTAATTTTGTTTACAGACTATTCTAATATAGCAGAATAAATATTTCTGAGAGAAAGAGGAAAAGAGAGAAAGAGGAAAAGAGAGAAAGAGGAAAAGAGAGAAAGAGGAAAAGAGAGAAAGAAGAGAAAAAGAGACGGAACGTAAGTGAAAGAAAGAAGCAACATAAGAGAAAGAAAGAAGCAACGTAAACAAAAGAAAGAAAAAGAAAGAACACTTCAAATAAATTTGAAGTGTCGGCCATTTTGTACCAAAGATTGCATATTTTAAAAATGTTTATGTAATAAATAAACAGGAAGTTACTGTCATCAACTTCTGTAGAAGATAAGCGTGTTTTGAATTACTCAACGTTTTTTCCTTCTTAAAATCAAAACAAAAAGTCATTGCAACAGGGAATAGCCATCCGAGGACTAGGTTACCTTATCTTCCATTTTTTGCAGTTTATCGGCATAATACCGAGTTCTTGGTTTTCGTGAGCGTGGACGGTCAAGGACATCCAATTTATCATCGCCCACCAACAGCGCCTGGATTGGAAACAACATTCACAATGAAGCAACAATGCACAAGTTTTAAGAATTTAAAAGCTCTACTAATTCTTTTTCTATTGATAAGATAAATAATTAAAAGCTAGGCAATATTATTGGCTGATTAAGACTTGCATTACTTTTCGTTTGTACAGGTTCAAATGTTAATCATTATTTCAGATACATCGAATAACATTAACTATGGCCAAAATAAGCGAGAAAAATTTACTGTTATTTAAAAAGTGCCCAAATAAGCAGCTATCAAAAAATAATTACTGTTATTTTTTTGTTTTTGTTTTTAAATATTTAAAAAAAAATTTAATCATTGAAGTCTAATTTTTGACAACTATTCTAGGAGAAAAAAAAGTCAGAATTCAAAACGAGGCGGCGAATCCACTCAGGTAATTAAAAATACTGGTCCGTTTGTATAAAAAAAAAAAAAATCAGGTAGAAATGTTTCTAAGAATTTTGGCAGATTTGCATTCAATCGATCACCCTCAAGCCACGGAATTTGTCATAATCGAAGAATATTGATTTTTTTTATCATTTTAGGAGGGGGATATTTTGGACAAGTCCAACCTTATCACTTCAGCAAGACATTTGAGCACCGGTAACTCTTAAATGTTCAATGATTCTGTGAAAGTGATACTCTGATGACATCGTATCAATATTTGATGCTCAGATCAAAGCCGGTGAAGACCGTGAACGTGCTACGAGTCGCCCAACCAACGGACAGCGTAGATTGATTGGTTGGTTTGAAAGTTGAAAACCAATCAGAAGAACCCGTTAACATTTCAAATTTTGTACCGACAACTGAAGTCATTCATTTGTGTTTTTAATGCTGTTAACACAACATTTCGGCCGACCCATTTTGTCAGTGTGTATAATTACTTTTTTTTAAATAATCGTTAATTTTCTTCTAAATTTTAAATCGTCATTCAATTAGAAATTTTGCAGAGATCCAACTCAACATATGGAATTTTAATTACTCCCATTGTAATAACGTTTTATTAATCATAAATTCTGTTAATATTTGGGATTTGGTTGGGTAAAATATTTAGATTTTTTGGAAAATCCATTTTGATTTAAACCAGACTGTTCTAGTGCAAGCGTTACCGAAAGGGGTTTGTATTTCTTTCAAATAGGTATTCCACAGAAACTTAAAAAACACACATAAAAAAATCCGTTCACCCGGCCCCTATAAAAATTGATAATTTCAATGTTTGATAGCTGCTTTTTTTCCCGCCATGTTTTGCGAATCTATTTCGTAGATAAAAATGGCAAGAATCGAGTTATTTCAAGATGGAACCTGTATAAACGAACGTCTAACGATTCAAGATTCGACTAAAATTAATTAACATTATTAACACATTATTAAATGCCTAATTAAATAAAAAATAAAATAAAAAGTAAATAAATCTAAGAATTTGTTAGTTTTTTTTGGTTTTTTTTAATGATGCGAATTAAAATCCAATTTATGGCCTTTTTTAATTTTTGGATCGTCTTTCACGATTATTTCTTGTGAAACGTTTTGATTTTGCGCCTTGAAGCGGTTGTCTCTTGAATTTTTAATTTAGAAGAATGGATTGGATCCAAATGTTAATATTCAGTTATTTCGTTAATTCTTGTATCACATCAATTCTCATCAGCATTGCACAGTTATTTGCAAACTAAAATCTCTAAAATCTCAGTTTTTCTCGAGTAAATGAAGAGGATTTTAAAATTGGCAAGAAGTTAAAAAAATCATCCGTTGATTAATTTCAAATGATTATTTCTTGGACTGCAAATATAAATCACGTTGGTAAAAGTGCTGTCAAAGTAAATCTTTGTGCAGTAGATACAAATATTAAAAGGTTAATTCTTCTCAGTGCAATCAGGGTTCAATTCACACCGTAATGAATTTACAGTAACCATATTATTATTATCATAAAGTGTACAAAACATTGTCAGTGGCTGTAATCAACTGGCGAGAAAAGAAAACAGATGGCGCCATTACAAAATAGCCCTCATAAGATATTAGGAATTTATGTATGAAGTATGGCCTCGAGGGCATTTACCACAGTAAGTAACCGAGAATGAGCAAGTGAAGGATACGACCATCTTGATTGACAAGTGCTTGGAAAGCAATCGCCCTGATATCACATTTGTGTATAAAAGCAGACAGGAATGGATCCTGATAGACTTTACGATACCTTGGGATAAGAATACCGTGAAGGTGGAGGCGAAGATAGAGAGTTATCGAAACCTGGCAGGATAAATGGAATAAATGTACGAAGCAGTGGCTAAAGTTATCTCTTTGATATGTTGGGACTTCTTCCAGGAATGTGTCTGTCACTCAAGATGCCTTGGAGATGACTGACATTATCAGGAGTGCCCAGGTGGCAGCTCTACTTGGAACGAATCATGTGCTAAGTCTTGTTTCTAAGCTGCTAGATATAACCAGCACCCAACTGAAACATCTAAAAGTCGGAGATGAGGATTTCAAATAATAATAATAATAGAGAATATCTATTAACAAGTAGATTTGAAAATGTACAGAGGTTGTGAGACATGGAGATGAAAAAAAAAAAAAACTTCATTCACATTATTATCATTTGTGCAGAAAGAATACAAGCACCACCATTATAAAGTGGGCTCCGATCTGCATTAGTGACGATATAGGAAGCATGAGCTTGAAGTCAAGTAGATATGGTACCTTCACAAATTGGAGAAGGTGATTGAAAACGATGAAAACAGGATCTTATGGGATGTCAACATCTAAAACAGACCATGTCCTTAAAGCAATCAAAGAAGACTTCACAAACGTTAGAAAAAAAATGAAAGAAAAATGCCTCAACATTGATTTGGCTGTTTCTGGTTACCATAATATTGTATTGCGGTTGTCAGAATATGGGACGTTCAGAGCACTGTTGTCCAAATTATAATTTGGGGTTTATACTACCGAACCTAAAGATTTATTGTCTATACTTCTGAGATGAGGTATTGTAATTATTTATATTATTTACACTGTTCGAGCTGTTGTCCTCATCTTTATTAACATATTCACGACATTTCGGCCTTCTTCAGGATCTGTCGATATTTCTGGGATGAGGTATTGTAATTATTTACATTATTTACACTGTTCGGGCTGTTGTCTTCATCTTTATTACCATATCACGACGTCTCGGCCGTTGTACGCTCCGATTTAGATGACTGGAATTTGGAACTTGATCAATCTACCCCGGTGGACGAAATAAAGGGTTCAGTCCGAAATTCCAATCACATGAAGAAGGCCAGAGCGTACAACGGTCGAAACGTCGTGAATATGGGAATAAAGATGAGGACAATAGCCCGAACAATGTAAATAACCTTAAGATTTACCTTAAGTCTAGTCGTTTCAGAAGTCTTCATTGCTTCGCAAATATTTTGCTATCATGTTTGGAGTCGTTCGCTTTGATAGAGAACACACATAATGCAAGATATCGGGTTTAAAACGAAAAACCGTGTGGAAGAGAGGCTAATAAAAACAATAATAATGTTTACACTAATTCGCCTCGATCTGATCCGTTCACAGAATAAACAAAATAAAGTTTAAGGTCTAAATTTCCATTGAATATTAAAAAGCCTTCGCCATGTTTGACAACTGGGGCAGATTTCTTTCCTCGAAAAATTCATTTTTTCATCGAATGACACATATTTGGTGATATCCGGTGATTATCACTTGTCAAGTTTTATTTATGATGGGCGTACGATCGAAACATTTGCGCATACAATGTCGGATTTTTCAGCCATTAATAAATGTAAAAAGAATATATATTTTTTAATTCTTGTATTTATCTATACGCTTTATTTTTAGTTGATTTGATCAATTCGAATGACCCTAGCGTATTTTATTTGCTTTTTCATCAAAAAATGATTATCCATATTCACACGTTTTGACAGTATATTCCACTGACTTCTGACTACAGTACGTTCTCGAATATCCGGACGTGAAATGGAAAAAAAAATTCAATCTTTCGAACATTTTTCTATAATCTGAGTTAAACCGATTCTAATATTTTATCTCGGATAAGCGTTTTCAGAATTTAGAAAATCATATTCAACGTTCGATTAAAAAAGAAAAAACTAAAAAAAAAAAAAAGAAAAAACTAAAAAAAAGAAAAACTATAAAAAAAACTATAAAAATCTAAAAAACTAAAAAATAAACTAAAAAAGAACCTAAAAAAAAAAAAAAAAAAAACCCTAAGAAAACTAAAAAAAAAAAAAATACTGATAAAATCAGTTTGATTAATTCTTTTTAATGTCCGCGTCACAAAGTTTAAGTTTACAAAGACCATAAATTTGGATTATCTCGGTTACTCATACGAATATATCTATTATAATCCAACTTCTGGAATTAGCGACAGATCAACGAGAGGTCAGCTGGAAACAAATAAAAATTGCCCCATCTTTTCATCAAAAATAAATTGGAAAAAACTTCAAAGATTTTGAAAATGTTATTTGATAATATAAATGTTAAATTTCTTTCAGAAAATTACTTTTTCTTTCCATTTTTTTGATAATTTAGCTGTTCAGTTAACCGGAATTTTTAATCATCTGAACATTTTTCAACCACCATCTCAAGGTGTCCGGATAATCGAGGAAGTATTGTACTATAAATGCTTCGAAAAGCCAAAACTTACCTTCTCGGTGAAAGAAGGGCAAAAACGTAAAATGTCTGTATAGAGGCTGCAATACTTTCTTCCCAAATTACTTAGATTGATCTAAGGTAAGATCAAACGTGCTGGCCGAAAGATGGGAGTTTAATTTGCAGAAACCTGTTTTGCTTATTCCAAACCATTCAACGAAAATGAAGTTTGAAAATTAATTCCTTTTTTTCTTTTTCTTTTTTTTAAATTTTTTTAGTTTGTTATAGACATTAAAACATTTGACAGGCATTATTTACAAGAAAAGAAAAATCGTTATGAGTGAAAAGTTTGACTGGAAACATTTTAGAAACCTTCTAGACTTACTACAGCAGAAGCTCCATGTTGAATGGATTTGCTTTTTCAGAGGACGAGCAAAAATGCCGAGACTGAAATTACAATCAAACATGCAAAGCTGTATTTTGACTGGGTTAAGACACGATTAACACTTGCGATTCAAACGACAGTCATGTGTTTGAGGAAGAATAAAATTGATGTATTAGCGTGCATTAAGAATATCAGAGCAGAACTTCAAGTGCATTCAATTAAAAAACGCAAGCAAAAAACCAAAGCCAAAGAAAAATGGTTTGATTTCAAAAACTCAGTGCTAAGTTTAGGAAATCAATAGAAGATAAAGACCACAGTATAAGAAACATTGAAGGAGAAGATATAACAAAGAAATTAAGTATTATTGATTTATGCTAAATGATTTATTGAATAAATTTAAGAAATTTACTACCGTACATACTGGTGTATAAACTGACCCCTGAATTTTTTGTATGAATTTTAACCCCACTAGAAAAAAAATTACCTGTGTATAGGTGAAACCGTTTACGAAAATGCATGATTTTTAATCTCTTCAAAAACTTACCTGTATATAGTGCGACCCGTATTTAAAAAAAAAAAAAAAAAAAAAAAAAAAAAAGAAAAGAAAAAAAGCTAATAAAATCTCGCCCGATACAAGAGTATATACGGTTTATAAGATTTTTTTTTTTATTTATTAGAAAAACGATATCACCTAAAAAGATTATATTTTTTGTTAAGATATTTTCTCCTTCACTGTATTCTGCGGATTTTACTGATTTGGCGGGGAAAGTGGGATAAGGGAAAAAGGATCTCAAAGTTTTATTTCCTTGGGATGAAGACTAAAAGTCAGAAAATTAATTTTTCTCTTAAATTCTTCAAAAAAGAACCATTTTTTTTAAACGTTTAAACCCATTATAAACTTTTAAATCTGTTACATTGAAAATTTAATTTTCGAAGTCTGAAAACGGTTTATGCTTGAATTACGATGAATTTTATTCCTCAATGTAACTCAAAAGACTTTGAGATCAAACATCAAAACGTCGATCGCATTCAATATTAAAACCAATTATATAGAACTGAGCAATTTATGAAGCTCTTATTGTTTCGCTCAATATTTTAAGTAAAATCTCATTGACTGCCATTCGACGTTAGGTAGATGAATTAGAAAGAAAAAAAAATGGGTTCATTTGAGGTGATTGAACGATGGAGAAAAGGGACGTCTGGTTTTAACTGATGGTCAACAATCAAACATCATCCACGAAACTTGCTTAAATACCTTTAAACCGAGTCAACCAAATGAATACTAAATCCTGTAGAAAATCACATGAAACAAAGTCTTTCTGGCAATTGACACCCGCTGTCATGGCCTGTCGTTGGACTGCAGCCAAGTAATGAGTTGGGTATATGGGTATATTAGGGGGTGGGTGTATGCCGCCATGTCCGCACACGTGGAAGCCTTCAGCCGAACGGACATGACCTGCTGAAACACGAAATAACGGGGTTTCTTTAAGCGATAATGGCGCCTTTACGTAAAAGATGCAAAGTATGAAAAGCAAAAAGTACGCGCAGTCACCCATGATATCATTCGTCAAGTTCCAGGACAAAAAAAAAAAAAAAAAAAGAAAGAAAGAAAAGAGATAAATAAATGAGAGACTTCGTTAATTGTCTCAGAAAAATAAAGATAAGTAAAAAAAAATAATGAATGCATGCAAAGAACATTCGGCCTTGTGCTAAATATAAATTGTGTCTTTATAGGGGGGGAAAAAGAGAAAAAAATTACATATATATCCAAATATTAAATGTAAGAGCGGAAAAAATAGCGCAAGTGTAAAAGCGAGAAAAGGACAAGGTTTCAAAGAGCAGTAATATTTACATGTGTACCAGATTTTGCACACATAAAAAAATCAGTGGCAGAGGAAATAATAATAATAATAATAATAATAATAATAATTAGTCGGAAAAATTACGAAATCAAAATTAAAAAAAAAAATAAAAGCATTGACGTTATTTGACTTGTCCGTTTTTTCGCCATTGGTTGCGAATCCAACAAGTGCAGTGAAAGCGTAGCAAAAGCCACAAGTGCACCTGAAAAAAAGTAGTTATGTCACCTTGAAAGTCAGTTCAGGCAGTTGATAGGCCCTACCGTAGTAGATCCTCGGTACTGATCTCAGATACCGTCCACGTGCTACAGCGCGCCATCCTGCGTACCATGGTAGGTAGTATCTGTGCTGATAGAATGTGCGCGCTGTAGCCCGTCTCCCGATATACAGAGGATCAGAGCGACGAAACTTCGTTGAACGAGGATACAATGCAGCATATTCGTCAGAATCAAGAAACACAACATTGGGTCTATAGTTAGAAGAAAGCGCAAGAATACGCTTAGTGCGGCCGGGTATGTACCCGGCGAAGGAAGACAGGTAATAAGGACCAGTGGCAGGTACCTCTTTACTTTTGGGGCGGTGGGTAGCTCTTAGGGAGATTGGCTTCGAAGCCAGTACTGGTGTGCGGGAGGCTCTCAGGGCTGCGACGGCAGCTTTGGGTGGCCTGCGGAAGTCTGTTGAAACCTGCGAGGAGGAGGGAGTGAAAAACTAGAGGAAAGGAATTGGTAATTTGAATTAGTCTAAAGTTTAGACTAATTCAAACATGAATCAAGACAGTTAAAAAAAAATGTTGCAAAAAAAAAAAAAAAAAAAACAAAACAAAAAAAAAACAGAAAAATGAGAACTTTTTATGGTCGTATGAACAGTAACAGTGAAAGAGAATTTGTCAAAAGTCATTAATATAGTTTCAGATCTGTTAGTTTATTTTTTGGTTAATTTGCAGTGCAACACCGGCACTCAGTTTGCATTAAAAATTTCCAAAATACTTACTCCATTCGAATCTGGCTTGATAAAAATCTACCGTTTTGTAATTATCGACAGTGAAATTTGGGATTCATTCGCGTCGCGAGTAGCCATTACTGGCGTGGTTTGTATACATTCGCTGCAGAATAGTTATCAGTGTGCAAACTGAGCGTGTGTACGTAAATAGTTCTCAGGTTATCTTTCCGTAGTCTTCCGCGTTTATCTTTCCGCAGCGAATGTATGCAAACAACGCGAGTAATGGCTGCCGCCAACAACGCGATTAAATCCCAAATTTCACTATCGATAACTCCAAAACAGTAGATGTTATCAAATTTATAAAGCCAGATTCGAATGGAGCATGTACAATTACACATAAATGTAAGCATTTGGGAAATTTTTAATGCGAACTGAGTGCGAGTGTTACACTGCAAATTAACCATTTTTTTTAAATTAAATCATTGCTTATCAATTAATTCCTGTGCCGAAAAAGACATTTTCAGAAGTTTGAAAATATAACCTTGCGTCCGTATTGTTTGGACAAACCACACAAGTATCTCTAAACAAATTCTTTCTACAAATCGAGTTTATAATATACAAATGAAATGAAAGACGGAACAATCAATTCTCCATTACTGCTACAAGTCGAAGTACAAATCTATCAGATTCTCCTGGAAAATCGTTCGTGAATAGAAAGAAATATCAATTCGTGATTTAAAATCAGTTGCGGTTCGTGTGTTTCTCTTTAACAAACACGTCTTGTATATATTCGCAAAATGAATTCTTCGACTCTTCTATTCCGAAGATGTATCACTCACTTGAAAACGGATGGAAATCTATTAAGCAACAGTTGGTAAATCATGGGAGGAAAACTCCCCGCGGATGTATTATGACTTTTAGCTCTGTAAAAAGAACGGAACCGTTTCGATCCATGTGGAAATGGTTAAAATAAAACAGGAATTAGTGTAGATGGGTGTCGACAACCTAACAAGAATGACAGAAAGGTCAATTCGTAATGACAGGATTTAAAAAAAAAAGTACAGGATCAACAGAAGAAATGCGATGTGAAATTCATAAATTCTCTTGAGATTCTTTGATTTAAAAATGGAAGGAGAGGAAAAAGGCAAGCAAATGGTATTTTTGTTATT